ATATCTTTGTTTCTGGATCCTCTCTTTGCCCCTCTTTCATTTTCTAGTCTCTTTCTCCTTCCTCGTTTTTGTCTCAGCCCACACTATCCAAAACATAAAACTGAATTATCAGCAGACTTCGGTGTTCTATTTTTAATAGTGTCATGTTCCAGGCTCTTAATTTTTAAAATGAATGAAGAGAACATTTTCTATTTCTCCCTAAATTAAAATGCCTCTTACTTATGAATCTTTCAGTTGGATTTTTCTGTTGGTCAGAGCCCTCCGATAGAGAAAAGCTTCCCTGTTTCTTTCCTAAGAAATTAGACTAAAGACAAAATGAAGCTGTGAGAAAAGTTCAGAGGAAGTCTTGGACGAGAGCAAAAGGAGATTTTTTAAGGGAGGCAGTGCTGTTTTGGGCAGGCGCCCACCCTGAGAGGGACCTCAGAGGGCACCTCGTCCTGCCTCAGCAGCACGCCCAGGACACGGATCTTGGCTGCAGGGCCTCTGAGGGAGCTGTGTCAGCCCCCTTCACAGACATCAGGAAGAGGGATGTAAGGATTTAGGGCACTTCGTAGAGAACTCCTAGTGGCTTGACACATTTTTAAACATTTGCTTGTTGTTTGAATAGAGTATAAATGAACTGAAACCCTCCCAGACCCTCCTTCCACATCCTTTCTCTGCCCTGTTCACAAGGCCTCCAGCCCCACCCAGACTGAAGGACCACCCTCTACTCTAGGTTCTCTGGGACTTGGGTCTTCCATCTTGACAGAAAGGATGAAAGAGAGACAGACAATGACACCCCCCACCCCAGCAGTGTCAGCTGATGGAGGCTGTGTCCCCTTCCCTCTGCATCTCTGCTCTGACAGGCTCCCTTCCCAGGCTCAGGGAGGAAGTTGGGGCATAGACCGCCTCCAACTTCTTTTTTTTTTTTTTTTAAGATTTTATTTTTTTTATTGGGGAATTGGGGGAAAGGGAACAGACAAGTTGCTGTCCTTTTGTTCTTCAGTCTAGTTGTGGAGGACNGCTGAGCCTGTCAGACACCAGGCATCAAAGTGACGCCTGACTCCCTTTCATCTTCTGAGCATCCTGTGGCCTGAAGGAACCGTGTCTCTTTCCTCCTCCTCCTCCTCTTCCTCCTCCCCTTTTCTTTTTTCCCTCATTTGTCTCGTCTCTTGTCATTTCTCCCACTGCCTTTGGCTTTCGTCCTGCAGTTGTCTTTACTGATCCTGGGATCAGAGTGGCTGGAGGTGCCGGGATGCCAGGACATAACACTGGGCTGGGGACCTGGGAGTTGCCCTCTTGTACTTTCCCTGGGAGGTGACACAGGCTGGCTGAAGCCACAAGATGCGTCCCCCGGTGGCCCAGCCTGTTTCCACTTCGCCTCCCGTGAGCTGGCAGGCAGCGGCTGAGCGTTTTCCCTTTTGTAGCGTCCTGAACGCGCCCACCTACAGCAGCCCACACGTGCCTCCCTCTGCCTCATGTACAGTGCCAGACCATCAGATTATACGTTCACTCACTTCAGATGGCTGTGGGGCCAACGGACAACATAATATGTGTTGGTTTAATTCCTGGACTGTGGAGCCAGATGTCCTGTGTGGCCTTGGGCAGGTGACTCAACCACGCTGTACCTCAGTTTTCTCACCTGTAAAAGGAGGATACTAACCTCATAGGGTGATTGTGAGGCTTAAAAGAGTTAAAGTGCTTAGAACAGTGTCCAACTGTTTGAAAATGTAGGTTGTTGTATTATTATCCAGATATGGGGAGGCCAGGAGCTGATTCCCATTGAAAAGATAGCTTGTTTCTCACCATTCTCAAGAGAGGAGGGCACGCCAGCCGTGGGGGACCAGGCAGGGAAGCACCAGGCAGAGTGAGGGGGGAAACGTGGGCAAGAGCCTTGTGTGAGAAGGAATCGGTGAGACAGAGTAAGCAGGCTCAGGATTAGAAAGTATGAATAATTTCAGCGGGCTGTGGGGTAGAGGGGCTGTCTCAAGTCACCTGGCACCTGTCCCTGAGGTGATTAGGGCAGGGGAGGAGTGGCCCCATGCGTGACAGCCTGACTTGGGTGGGCGGCTCTGAACCCTGAGGTGGATTGTTGACTATCTCTAGGAACCAGCTAGCCTGAGAGGGACAGGCTCCCCGGGGTGAGGAAGGTCCCAGATGTCACACATCAGAATAAAAAGACATGTTTAATGCACCAGCACACATTTCCAGAATAAAATGACAAAATACGTTTAGTTCTACATTCTTACTTTAAAAATGGAACTGTCAGTTCTGGAGCCTCAGGTGCCCTGTGACATAATAGAAAGAGGACAGGTCTGGGGGGCAGAGCCTGCCGTGCTGCTGTCTGCAGCTGCTTCCCTGAGGCGCAGCCTCCTCCTCTGTGAGATGAAGCCAGCAAGCCCTCACTTCAGGGCCGCCTGGAGGACTCAGTGAGATGACCCGCTGGAAGCTCTCAGCCGCACACTGGGCCACCAGGAACGGCTCAGTACATGAAAGTTACTACATTATTGTGTCCGTTTTAAGAAGAAAACTCTAGGGGCCCTTGCACATTCTGGCCCTGGGTCCTCACCTCTGGTAGTCTGTTATGAAAGAAAAGGAGGATGTTTTCAATCTCGGGCACACGAGCCTCAGAAACGGGTAAAAGATCCACAGTGTGCAACTCAGGGACCAGCTAGTGCATTTGACGGGGGTCCGGGGATGAGGCCAAAGGAGCTGGCGGGTACCAGTTGGGGGCCTTCCAGAGACACTTCCTGTCTGCCTTCTTCTCCCCGGGCTGCTCAGTCTGTCCCTTACTAGAGGACGCCCATGGGATGAAGGTCTTGGAGTCGGACTCCCTTGTGTGGGTGCTGGGAAGTGAGGCCTTGGTGCAGCTACCATTTGGGCCTGAAACACCTTCCAGAGCAGACGAATCAGAGACCCCCTATTCCCAGGCCCAGCTACCTTGAAGGGGGAGCTCAGGGGTCAAAGGGGCAGGCCCGAGAGGTGACTGAGGTTTGGGGGCCTGTCCCTGTCTGTGGGAGCCTCAGGCAGATGCACCCCCCAGGCCTCTTGCGCCTCCACCTCCTTTTCCTCCTGGGTAGCCGTTAGAGCACAGAAAGGAGGACTTGGTTGGCGTTTCCTGGCCAGCATTCTCGGCTCTCCAGTGTCAGGCCCTCTTTGTCCCCTCCCCAGCAGCTGTGTGAGCCACCCCAGGACTCATGCTGGCCCGCAGCCCTCCTAAGGCCGAGGGTGGGCGTGGCTGTGTCCCCCTGACCTTCCTCCCTAATGGGGGTCCTCCTCCACCTGTCTCCCCAGCATCCTGTTTGCTGACATCGAGGGCTTCACCAGCCTGGCTTCCCAGTGCACCGCCCAGGAGCTGGTCATGACCCTCAACGAGCTCTTTGCTCGCTTTGACAAGCTGGCTGCGGTGAGTCACCCTGTCCACTGCCCTTGGGGACCTGTGTGCCTGAGCCAGGGCTGCCCACGGGAGGGTGCTAGAGTCAAGCACCTGCTGAGCACCAGCGGTGGGCACCGTGCCATGGTGTGCCCTGCTGACAGAGACTGCAGCTGGGAACGGGTGACTGGTGGAGGGGCTACACAGGCTGTGGCTGTGTGTCCCCACGCCCCGCATCAGCCATGGCCACGCACTCAGGTGGAGATGCTTTCTCTGTGTCACCGGTCACGAGGGAGTGAATGGGTGATAAAGGTGGTAAGGCCTGCAGGTAACACTGCCCAGGTGTTTGGTAAGGCAGATTAGGTGCCATAGAGCCACTTTCCTGATGAGGCTGGCCAGTAACCAGGGAGTGAGCCCGAATCCCAGCTGGCCTGCAGGCAGCCTTGGGCCACCCCCCAGAGGCTTCCAGGGAGAGAGAAGACCCTTCAATGTTCAGGCAAAGTGGGAGTAGCACCCCAGGGCAGGGAGGCATGAAGGAGTCATTCATTCATTTGTTTGGTCCCTGTTTATACTGTCATCCTTTCCCAGCTTTCGTGGCTTTGGGTGATGCTCTGGGCCTTTGTGGAGTCATTATATACCAGGAGACATTTACTGCAGGGCCCATCAGTGGGTGGACACGTTGCCCTTTGCAGACATTAGATGGTGGGCTTACCTCACGGATTGTTTTTACCACTGAACGTGGGTGAGGTGAACAGGCCCGTGCTTGGCACTTGGGCATGGGATGGGCCTTAAACAAGAGTCCAGGCCACACGACACTTGAGTCCCAGTACCCAGCTTCATAAACTAATTTCCTGGAGCCAGACTTGGACAGCCCAGAATTAGTGATTATGACGGATCGATTGTGGCCTGCCAGGGTGACCTGTTGCGCTCACTACTCGGGCAGGCCCCTCAGCCCTGTCTTAGCTCTCATGTGCTTGCTGGTTCTGATAAAAACTCAGACAGGTGGAGGGTCAGGCAAACGTGTGGTTAAATCTCATTTCTGCTTTAGTCTTTTTGTGAAAAAAGAAGGCTCAGAAAACTGTTTCTAGAACCGTAGACCAAGAGTCAGGGCCATACTCCAGGGGCGTCATGGGACGGGGGCACGCCCACTCAGCCTGGGGCCTTCCTCTTGCTGCCTCGCCTGGTAGACCTTCTTCATGGGCCTCTGCAGTGGCCGTAAACATGAGTTCTTGATCCCGGTGAGGCCGGGATGCCTCGCTGAAGGCTGCTCAGCCTGTCCTCCGTCCCCCACAGCTCCTGATAAGCCTGTCCCGGCACTGGCCTGTGCTCACTGCCGTAAAAGGCAAGTTATTCCAGGCATGGAGTGAATCTGTTTGCTTCCCGTTTCTTTCCCTCCCACTTCACTTTCCTGCTATTTTTAATTTTTAAAATTAATTTGCTTTCCAGGAGAATCATTGTTTACGTATTAAGATCCTGGGGGATTGTTATTACTGCGTCTCGGGGCTGCCTGAAGCGAGGGCTGACCATGCCCACTGCTGCGTGGAGATGGGCATGGACATGATTGAGGCCATCTCGTAAGTGCCCGTCTCCAGGGGGACTGCCCGTCTGCAGGGTGACTGACCCATCTTCAGGGGTACTGTCCATTTCCAGGGGGACTGAACCATCTCTAGGGGCACTGTCCATTTCCAGGGGGACTGTCCCTTCTCCAAGGGCACTTGCTGTCCGCAGGGGACTGCAGGGGGTACTGTCCCACAGCCCAAGCAACTGACTGGCTTGCCACCTGGTTGGACCAGTGGAGGCAGGGAAACAGCGGGGCAGAGCCATCTCCCAAGGACCACCCGGCCACACTTGCAGACATTGAGCCTTCTCCTGGGCTCCTTTCCCCCACAGCAGCCGGGAACCTTTTCCCTGAGGAGCGTGTCCTGTAGGAAGGAGGGCTTTGCGGGAGGTGTGGATCCACCCCTGCAGGAGAGCAGGANCACTCAGCAAATATTTATTAGGCACATTTGTGGGTTGAACTGTGCCCTCCTAAAAGATATGTTGAGGTCCTAACCCTTGGTACCTGTGACTATGACCTTATTTGGAAATAGGGTCTTTGCAGATGAAACCAATTTAAGACGAAGTCATGCTAGGGTAGGGTGGACCTCTAAGCCAATATAACTGGTGTCCTGATAAGAGGAAAGTGCCCTGTGAAGACAGAGGCACACGGGGAGAATGCCATGTGAGGACAGAGGCAGAGATTGGAGCGACGCAGCTGCAAGCCAAGGAATGCCAAGGATGACAGCCATTATCAGAAAGAGGCCAGGAGGGAACTCAGGCTCAGAGGGAAAATGGCCCTGTTGGCACCTTGATTTTCGACTTCTAGCCTCCCAGCTGTGGGATAGTAAATTTCGGTTGTGTAAAGCCACCTAGTTTTGGATACTTCGTTACAGCAGCCCTAAGAAACTAATATAGGCACCTCCTCTGGACTGGGTATTGTGCTAGGTGTGTAAGTAGGGCGATAACAGAGCATATAAGGGAAGGCAGACATCACCTGTCCTCATTCAGTCATTCACTTACATATTTTATTGATCATTTACTCTGTGTGCCAGACATTGTACTGGGGCTCGGATATAGCAGTGAGTGAAATAGACCAAAATCTCCCTTACCCCCACCCCCAGGAGTTTATATTCTAATGGGGAGAAGCAGACAGGAGCATAATGATAAATAACAACAACAGTCAATAAGTAGTATATTAAATGGTGAGAAGTACAAGGGAGAAAAATCCAGTAGGGAAAGGGAGAGAGAGACAGGTGGGAAGGGTTGTAGATTTAAATAGGATGGTGGACTCCTCCCTGAGAAGGTGACATTTGAACTAGCAAAGTGGTTCTCAATCCTGGCTGTGTATTAGAATCCCCAGAGAAGCTTAAACAAAACAAAACAGAAGAAAAACAATATCAGAACCCCACCCCAGGCCAATTAAGCCTGAATCTCTAGGGGTGAGGCTCTGGGATCGCTCCTTATAAAAACTCCCGCCCAGATGATTCTAAGGCAGCGGTTCTCAACCTGTGGGTCGCGACCCCTTTGGGGGTCGAACGACCCTTTCACAGGGGTCGCCTAAGACCATCGGAAAA